TATAGCAGGAAGGGGACACGAGGGTGGGTGGTAAGCAGCAAATTTGTACGTGATTTGCGGCCTGGCGAATTTATGTGGCCCCAAGGTTCAAGTCGTGTGCACCAGGCGGTCAGTCTGACCTTGCTTACAACTTAATAGGAAGTTGCATGCCCCGCCAATCCAGTTCATGCTCTGCCCGACGGGCTGCTCTTTTTGATCAGTCAGCTGGGATTAGTCAACGGCTTTGACTAGCGCGCTTCCTTTTGTACTCCAGTCTAGCTAAAGCTCATGCTCGTCGTTTATAATTAACTCGAATAGAGTGGCTCATGTGGGAAACCGGGCTTGTCACGCGTGCCCGTCACAGAGAGAGGGAGAGAGAGATAGAGAAAGATGGAGAGAGCGAGGTGGCTATACTGATTCGGAACTCTCAACTTCATAGCCGCTGTGCCTGTCTATGGCCTTTGATAAACGAGCACATCAGAAATGTGGCTTGTCATAAATTTGCCTGCGTGGCCATTACTCATGTGTCATGTGGAGCGACGGGGCAAATGCAGCCGCTTGCAGCAGAAGCAGCAGCGGCAACAACAGCGTCCTGTTCATATACCTGCCCCACAATCCACATGCCACATGCCTCTGCCAGGGGTACCTGTGCCATCGCAGCTTCGACAATATGCCAAGCATATGAAGTAATCGCCGTTATCAACTTTTGTGACATGATCAGCCAGTGCTCCACATACGCCAGCCCCACCAACCACCAACCAGACAGCAGTCAGCCCATACCAACAGTTCTCTACCAAGTTGTGGCTGTTGTTGGTATAGCTGCTGCTCTTATAGACTTGTTTGGCTTATTATAGGCCCTCATCGATCTGAGTCGCTTCTTGGCATCTGTTTCGTTCATTAACTTATGGACAAAAGACAAATTCCAATGGCATGATCAGAGCACACAGAAGCGTCTCAATGATTTTAATTGAGTGCTTAAAAATTTGCAGCGTTATATAATATGACTAAATATATCTGTATATTTATGCCTATTCTTTTTATTATATTTATATATTTATAACTTTTGAGTTCTAAATAATGTTTGCTGAAGAGGATCAGATACTCCGGCGCTTGGTTAGGTGGGGATCGTGTATCTCTATATCTACGTCTGCCTATTATGTCTATACATTTTTACATATGTAGTATATCATATACTTTAAACTAGCTTGCGTTTTTCGGCTGATCAGCTTTCTCCAAAAATATTCTATAGATTTTATATATATCTATGATATTCATTCTTCGATTCGATTTTAAATAAATTCATTAAGCTAGCCAAACGGGTATTTTTCGATTTTCGTGTATTGTTATCTATCCATTTTCAACTGAGTTGCATTCGCACAGCTGTCCACTTCCTGCAGCCTTTTGGGGCCGTCTTTTGATCCCTCTCAGCCGGACAACAGTTGGGGGCAAGCTTAAGCTCATTAAGCCAAGCTATCTGGTTCTGTGCTGCGCTGTGCCACAAAATGAAGTCATTAAACAATCGGATGCAGCGCTGCATGCCATGGCTCTCAATGTTGTTGTTGTTGTTGTTGTTGTAGGTGCCACCTGTACAAATTTCTCAATAAATTGTTCACACTTAATTTTTCACGAAAACAATGCAAAGCCCAAGAAAAATGAAGCACTGACAACTCGTGCTGTGTGGCGTCGGCTGGCTAAGAACCCGAGAGCGACCCCAGCGGAACTTTTTTTTTTATTTTTCTTCTCATTTCTACTGCTGCCGCTCGACCTGCTGCTCCTCCTCTTGCCACTTCTGCGCCCCCATGCAGTGCGCTGCATAATAAACATAAGAGGCAACACAATTTTTCCACACCTCGCGGTAGGCGGCTGTGGCGCAACCTGCAGAGCGCATACATTAAAAATTTATTAATTGGTTTTTAAAAGCACTCGCACCCGTCGGGCCATTCATAATTTTTACTCTGCTCTACTGTCTGCCTCAACTCATAGTTCCTTTTTCGACTTCAATTTCCGCCTAATTTCATGCACTTTTATGCGGCTTTTGTGTGAATTACGCAGCGAAAAAAATGGCTTTTAAAGCGAAGCGGAAAAAGATCTCCGAAAAAAAGAAATATTTGCTGGGAAATACACTTTATAATTGAGCATGTTATTTATTTTCTAATTTGACAGACGTTATGTAGAGCAGCAATAGAAAGGCAAAAGGCCTTTCAAATCCGCCAATTTGACACACATTTCACATGCCTTCCATCTTTCAGATACTTTGTGAAGCTGCAAAATCGTCTTATAAAGATTTTAATATTTGAAGATTGATGTATTTATTGGAATTTTACAATGTTTATCAATATATCATTTTGCTTGATCTTTTCTATCTTCTAATCTTTCCTCTTCGCATATCCTCGTCTAGCTTTTGATATTTTCATAAAATCGATCTATATCGGCTGGTTGCAAGTTTCTTCACTATATTAGGAATATCTCAGGTTTCGTACATCTCAACATATTTTTCCTTATTTTTTTAAGGTAGAGCCTCGTGCCTTGGTATATAACTACTTTTTTAAGTCCTAGAGATTTCATAAAAATCGGAAAATAAATACCGAGTTTTCTCTGTGATAAATATGGTAAATTTTCCTACAAAATTTGATTTTCAAATCTTAAAGATGCAATATTTAAAGGAAACACATGTATATTACAAAAGTTAAAGTTAAGCAAGTTACTGCTTTTAATAAGTGAGAAGCTTGGGAGATGAGCTTATCGTGGAATTATCAAGAATATTTTAATACAAACATTTTTTTATTTTATTGTTTTTAGTTAAAAATTGTAATAATTGATTTCAATGTCATAATTGAAAGATCCATTGATATTGTGTATTGTTGTTTGTTCCAACGCGGTTTACTGCTATCAATTGCAATTTCCATTTTATTTTATTTTATTTTTATTTTCGGGCTCTTTCACTTTGTGGTTACATTTGTCTTGACTGCCACGCCTCCTGCCCCTCTGATCAGTATAGAGTTCGGTCAAATAGTTCAGCATTGGCAAGAAATTTAATTAATGATTCTGCATTGTTCGTACAATTGCCACCACCGCTCAAAATTCTATTGTGGCTAGACAATGGTTGAAGAAAAGATTATATATATACACACACATATTTTTCGTATCTTATTCGTTTGAAATTGTTTGTAGTTGTTAGTGTTGGCTTTTATTATTGTTGTTGTTGTTTTTTGGGGCTGTCGGTGAATGCAGGCAGTCGAAATTCGTAACGCCATCATCATTAGAGGGGGACCACGCACAGACACTGAAATCTCGGAACGCGGTTGCTTCGATTGTTGCTGCCAGTCTATCGAAATTAATTTGACTATTCTCTCGCCTCTTGCTGCTGTGGTGCCTAATAAGCCATAGGCAATTAAGCAAAACACTTACTCATGCCGCCTTGGACTTGGACTTTGAGAATTGGACACGCGAATCTTTGTGGCCGCGGCCACAGAAACTACTTCATCAGCCCGAGCGGCGCAGCGGGCGGCGTCGATCGAAAATAAAAACAGCCGAACAAAATCCAAACCAAAGCAAAAGCCACTATACTATATCATACTTAACTATGCAATATATATGTATATATATATATATGTAAAAGCAATTCATTATGCCATATGAATATACATATAGTTATGAGAGTGGCCTTTGAATACGCTGTAGCCTCTACCAGCTGTGGGGTATCTGCAGCAAGGCAGATGTGCCAAGAATATAATAACATAGTTGTCTCGTCTTAAGTTCAGTTAATATGCTGACTGTTCTTTTGAATTTATCAATTGACTGTGGATACAGGAATTTCTTGGTACTTACATTTTACACAGTGTATCGGATGGCTCAATATACCTTAAATCTATTTTCCTATTTATTTTTAACATTGTAAGTGTTGTTGCTAACGTGTTTCTAGCATCAATAAATGTTCCACAAGCAGAGTTGCCATTGCTTCTACAAATGGTGCGGGTTCTGTTGAGGTAGCGCCCGGAGCTGTGAAATGTGTGCCAAAGTTTCAATCAGTTAATGCTAATTAATTGTTCCAATAACGCTACGCATAATGTTGCTTAGTAATCAAGCAAAAAAACAAAAAACCCTTTCAAAAAGCTGAAACTTACTTCATAGATCAACTTGGCCAAGTTGGTGCATTGAACCTGGCACAGGAAGTCTTGTTTAAACTTTAAGCCAACTCTAGGTGTTAACTATAAACAATACCCGAGCCGGCTTATTTACGACTTCCATGGCAAACACCACACACACACACACACACACTCAAACCAGACCCAAACTTGTTCCCTCTTCGCTTTGCCCCGTGCCAGTCTGTGGCGTAATTGCGCATGCGCTGGCAGCCGAGGAACATTTTTAAAATATTCGACTTTGCATCATTTTTCAGTGGCCCGCAAAACTCCATACAATTAACCGTGTAGAGGAGCAACTATCTTGTTACCTGACGCGTTTTTATGATTTCTGCATAAAATTAAAACGTTTTGCGGCGAACCGAGAACGCTGCACTCCACTCTGCGCCTATCCTTAACCATATGGCTATAGTTCTATATAGCTCTATCCCTCTCTCTGCGTATGTGTGTGTGTGTTTTTGTGTCTGTGAAGATGCAACAACAGGTTGATAACAAGTAACAGTACTCTAATCTGCGGCGATCAACCAGAATATACCCTGGGCTCAGTGCCCAGCTGCCATTAAAAACATTCTTCTAACTCGGATGCTTATTGTGCGATTTTAATGTCATTTGTAGCGTATATATATGACATTCAAATTTGTGTAAAGCCTTAATCAATAAGTTTTTCAAAATTTTGCGGGTAATAGGCGAGTGTATAGAAGCTTAATACGGTCGAAGATTCCTCCTGCTGCTGCTTGTACATACATATGCTCAAAACCAATATACCCGTCCCACAGATTTTCAATGGGTTCAGGGTATAACTAAGCAGAACTAGTTTGAGATACAATTCTTCTTCTGCTGCTGTTGCTTTGCAGTCTACTCGCTCATCTGTTGCCTTAATAATTTTTACTTTGCTTTAATTATAGTTTTGCGCTTAATAAATTTCACAGCCTGCCAGTCCAAGCTCATGGAAGTTCTATAAACTAAACGCGGCCCTCCGCTTCTCTTCTCACCAGCTCGCAGTTTTTCACTCTTTTTCTTGCAAATTTGCTGCAATTCTTCGTCAGTGAACGCATCGTCTAGGAAAAAAATAAGAAGGTATTACAAACTGCGTGAAAATTATTTTAAAATTTATAACTGCAAGTTCTTTGGCTTTAACTGGGCTTACACAAGTCTTAAGATGCTTAAGCTTGATGTAATAGTTAATAATATACATAGTTAATTGCATTTTCTGGTAAAAACAAAAGGAGTAGAGGCTTTCAGAGCACATAGAACTAATTATAGTGTATTTAAAATGTTAATATTTTATATATTTATGTAGATTATTTAACTGCTCAGAGGTGTTGGACTCTTAAATTGTTGGCAGTCTTAATTATATCTCTCATGCTGATGAGCAAAGGCTGGCAGTGAACCATTCTTAAAGTAAGATTACAAATTGTTAAGCTGTAAAAGTTAAATGGCAGAGCATACTTAAAAAAATCCTATTGTACATGAAATGTTGTTGATTTACGTTTGTTTAACATTTAATTTACACAAATATTACGCGCTTTTAATCCAATTAAAGTTGCCTTGGGTAAAATATTTTATTGTTACATGATTTTTAATATATTTTTGCATTTAAACAGCTTTAGATGGAGGTATAAAAATTTCAGTTAAGTTGACAGCGTGACGAACTGAAACTCATTTCAAGTTAACAGCATTTGCAATAAGTGCAGTAATTGAATTCTCTTTGTAATCTCTGAACAGTATTAAACTTGCCAGCCAATCGTACTGCATAAATTAATCAATATGCATTTTTTATTGTTGTATTAAATATTTTTATTATTACTGACAACACATCGCATATGTTGTGCGCAATTGTTTGTCTTGTTGGTTTTTTTTTTTTTTTGCTGAACCGCAGCTGTAGTCTGTTTTTTTACTCTGCCCTTATATATTTTTTTGCCACATTATTCATTGCACATTTTATGCTTCATTCACTTTTTCAATTAATTAATAATCATCATGCTAATAAGATTGTTTTTGTTATTCTTGTTGAAATGTTTGTTGCCACCTTTTGTAATTTTTGCTGCGTTCGCTCAAAAACAACAACAGCGAAAACCAGAGAATTACAAACGAGAATTGCACAATTTAATTTAATTTAATTGCGTGTCAATAGAATTTCTTTCAATATGTTAAGGGCAGCTTTTATATTTTAAATTTTTATTTTAATTTCTGCATTAATTTAATATATATTCATTTTTTGTTATGTGGCTTTATTTTAAATTGTAGATTCATTAAAAAATGGGTTGTTCGCTTGAGCAACAAAAGACAATTGCTAAAAATTAGCAATAATTTAATTAACAAAAATATAAACGTAGATTGAAATTAAATGCTGTATAATGTATTACAGTTTTTCATAAATAAATGTATAAGCTACAGGATTTAAATAAAATTTCCATGAATTTTGGACCTAGGAAGGTTGATTCTTATTAATTTATTTGTATATCTCAATGGAATTTATTCTCTAGGTGCCCGAGCTAGGACTTAAGCTAACAACTTTTTAGCTTACCAACTTAATTAATTAGCATTAATCATGAACTTTTATTTTAATTTTATATATATTTCTATATATAAAGAGCTCAATAAATTGTATTCTGAAGGTACCTGAGCTACGATGCCAGTTAATTAAGGCCCCACATGTTCGCCCGCGGCGGCTGCTGCTGCTGTGTGTTTAGGTCAAAGTGCATTAGCCTAAGATCGACCGACTGCGAAATGGTTGTAGAACATGTTTAGCTGCCTGTTTTTACGGCCACAGCTAGTTGTAACACTCAAACGCCAGACATGGCAAATAAAAAGCATTTAAATAGAGCATAAACTGCAACAACAACAACTCAAGTAATGCCCCGATCCAGATCCAGACGCAGAACCATGGACGTGACCAACTTGCTGCACGTTCTGCAGCTCAAAAAATAAAAAACCAACAACAACAAAAAAAGAGAAAACTATAACATGAGTAAAATGTGAAAAAAAAAATTAGAAGAAAAAAAATCGACACACTACACGAAAATTCTCATTGGAGTGCGAAACGACGGCGTTGGCGAGCGGCGCCTTTAGAAGTAAGCGCCGCTGCCCTAGCCTAGGAAGTTGCCACGAACTGAGCCTTAAAACTCGCCTTGCTTCCTGCTTTTCTATTTTTCTTCTCCTGCACTCACTAATTAACAGCAATAACAAAGCACATGTGCTGGCATTGTATTTGTTGCACTGTTCCGCCCCCAATTACAATTCATGAACTTTTACGCACATTTGTCAAGCACATCAGAGGCTGCTGCAAAGACCCTGCTGAAGGCTGTCTAATTGCAGTTATGCTAACGAGCAATGTGCCCAAAAGGGTTGAACCAGCTGGGTAGGGGGATTGGTTAGGAAGGCTGTACGAATAAGGCTGCATTTTCATGCGTGCCCTACGCACACGTATGGACTATATAAAAATCAGAAAAAATGCAGGTCATTTTAACCGAAGATCAAATGCACTTGCGTGCAAAGAATATATGATATAGTCAAGTATAATATAGTATATTATGATATACTCATGGATAACATAGTCAGGTGTGATATAATCATGTATGATATAGTTATTTATGTATGTATAGTTATTTAGTATGAGATGGACATGTCTGATAGAGTATGACCTAAAGAAATATCTTGTCAAGCATAAAAAATTGTGTGAAATTAGATTAAAAGATATGCGGGATATGTAACATAATTTCTCTAGATACTCAAACGTTAATGCGTTACACATTGCTTGACATTTAAATAATACCCTTTGCAAGGGTAGCAACAATTTTTTCTTAATTATTGCATTGATTTACATTGCAGCTTAAGGGTGCCAAGGGCCGCTCGAGTGTCCCATTGGGCTTACAGCCTGTCCCTGCCCTGCTTCATTCTGCCTCTTGCTGTCGTGTTGCAACAGCAACTGCATTTTGTCGCCAGTGCAACGCAGAGCTGTGAAGTGCACTCCGAACTTCAGGCCCGTTGACATTTCGCCAGTTTTGGGATGCAATCGACAAATTTTGTGCGTGCACGAGTTGTAGTTTGTGGTGGGTTGTCCCACTCGAACTGGCGGTGGCGGCCTCTTCAGTGGCTACGCATTGACAATAGCAAGAGCAGCAGTTGCAGCAGCAAACGCTGCCAGCTGGGCACGTTTGGTGGTTGAGTGGCCAAGCAAGCAATTCTGTCCGCTGCTCCTGCTACTCCCCAAACTCTTAAGCACTCGCCACTCGGAGCTCCTGCTCTCGACAAGTCCAACCCCTGCGTTGGCAATTTGCAGCAATATTTATGATTAAAGGCGAACGTTTGACTAAATTCCAAAGATTAACACATTTTCAGCGATGACACGCCATCGTTTTGGCCACCCGGTCAGGGAACTTCTAATGTGACCGTAGCACGTCAACAAAATCGATAAATTGAACAACAAAAAGAAAAAAAGTCACGGACCTTAACAAGGTGCTTTGAATGCTCTTAGGGATTGATCGAATGAAAGTAGGTAAAGTAGGTTCACAAAATTTTATCTTTAAAATATACTGGATATATTTATTTCCTTGCATTGCTTTATATAGATGTCCTTATATTCGATTAATATAAAAATAAAGTGTTTTGAAATACTTGGACACTAATTTTGTTCGAATCGAAATCATGTAAAGAAAATATTCCCTCAAATAGATCCATTGTGCAAGTATTTTCTTTAATTGAAAAATACATTTTAACTTAACAATATCTTTGACCACACGTTATATACCCTATATAACATGCATAAGCCGATTTTAAAATTCTAACCCTACGTTTATAATAGCCTTTTCATTTTTGTTGGAAGGGAGGCAATTAAAAAATAGCATTGAATGTTGCATGTTTGGTTTGTTCGTTAGGTACTCTAATATGAAAACTATAGAGTGTAATAATACCTGACATGAAACTGGTTCAAAGAACCGTCCTTTAAAATTGTGGCTGTTGCCTGAATTTATTTGAGAGCTGGTCAAAATACCAAACATAATTCACAACATGCCAAACGACAAGCGACAACAACAACAACACCAACAACAACAACAACAACAACAGCGACAACATGTTGCATTGTTAGCAGCTCATTGTGCCAATTGTTGTTGCCACCGTTCTGATTGTTGTTGTTGTTGCTGTTGCCGTTTCCATGGCATTTATGCAAATTTGTAGTGGGCCACAAAGCGCATACAATGCGAGTATTTTAGTTAAGCCCCGTCGGCGCCCAACAAAACAACAAATATGCTGCCCTTCTTTTCTGTTATTTTTTTTTTTTTTTTGAGCCCGGATTTTTGTAAAACCATATAACGTGGCAAATGTGACTAGAAACAACAACAATTATCAGATGTTTCAATTGCGAATTCTCTGGGCTTTAAAACACTTGTCAACATGTTGAATATTTGGAATTGGTTTTTGGTGTTTAGTATGCAATTTGCATGGGATTTTTCGTTGTGTTTAATAAAATTGCATAGACTCTGGCACATGTGTGTCAGAGTTGAATAAATAAACAATATTCAATGTAAATATAATTAACATTGCAATTTACTGTGGCAGCTGTGAAAATATCAACAAAATATGCATGCAAATTTCTATAACGAATATGTATATCAATTATATATAATTATTAAAATTGTCATACTTTAAAAGTTACCAAATTAACTAACATTGTAATATTGCTGAGCGTGGCCTGGCTGCTGATTCGCAGCTTTCCACTGGAATACGTTCCCAGTGTTTCCTTTAAAAAATACTATACTAATAAAATAAGAAAATAAAAGCAATTGCTTATAAGCAATTTATATAAGGTTTTATTTAGAGTAGTTTCCTATTTAAACCGAATGCAACAACTGAAGTCAGTTTCATTAAAGTTACTAAACATATAATAAATAGCTAAGGGTAAACTGATGGCAATTAAATATAATTCGATGATTTTGTGCCCTATAATAAATTATGATTAAACATCTATAATTCAGAGAAATTGTTATGCAAAATAAATTTATACTTTTATGTAGATCATATGTGTGGGCATTATTATTCATTCATTGCATTGTTGTTGTTGCTAGTGCCCCTTCGGCAAATGGCAGTTTTGCTGTCTTCGCTTTCGTTCGAACACATTCAAACACGCCCTCCCACTCCGCCCAGTCTCTAGACAACTCCCACTCTTATTGTCTTGCATAAAACTGCAGACGCCGAAAGCTGACGGAAGTGCAACAACAAATGCAACTAAACAATGCAGCAGCAACAACAACAACAACAACAACAACAAAAAGAAAAACAACAATGTAAAAGGCTTTGACGCATGCGCCAAATGGCCAATTTGCCTGGCATTTTGGCTGTCTGGCTTAGGCCACTTGGTGCATTTGGGCGCTGATTATCGACATTACTTTTGTAGTCGGCATGCATGCATGTTGTCTACCTGAAAATTAAGTGGAAAAATCAATCACTTTCACTAATTTTAAAACGATTTTCCCCCAAGCAAAGCGAGAAAATTGGGTCTGCCCCCAGCTTGTTATCGAGTGTTGAAACGAACGCCGAATGTGAGGAACCGACTCAAAAAAAAAAAAAGAAAAATAAAGACCTAAAATTGACTGCCAGCTAATGCAAAGACATTTATAAACAGCAGAAAATTTAAAGAGGTTTTTAACTAAGACAAATTTAATTTAAATGAATAAGTAAAAAGAAAATGAAATAAAATGGGATCTGGGTCGAGCGTGCCTGACTAGTAGATGCCCTCGGAAAGATATTAAAATGCCTCAAGACTGTGAAAAGAACTCGTCTTCGAAGGAAACACTAAAAAATGTAACATTTAACAACAATTTAAATTAAAATACAGCTAAGATTGGGCTGCAAAACCCTCATTTGTTACAATTATACAAGCTTTATATAATAATTTTTGATATGCCCATCAAATGTGTTGTCTACAGGGTATTGGCATAAAACAAAATCTAGGCAAAACTTAATTATCACCAAAGCTAAAGTGTAAACTGATTAATTGCTGACTTTAGTGGCAACTCGAGACGACATTTTTAATTTAATAGTAGTTAATTTTGGAAGCGTGATAAATCTTCTATGCCATACCAAATTCTAACGGTCTGTTATTTCCTTTAGCTTTGAATTGCGCGCAATATCGTTTTGGCCAAATCGCAAACGGAAGCTGCGCATGCGTCATGCAGTCTTCTACAGTCCCTCTGTGGGTCAAGCGCTTCCTTTTCTCTCTAACTCATGTATTTCGTGGCATTTGTCTCTGTTTTCTTCTCTGGTTTGTTCTTTCGGTCAGTCTTGGTGCGTGCTGGGCCCAAAAGAGCTGGCAACACTTTCGTGTCTGGCTGGGATTTCAGGCTCTGAAAATTTCTTATTTATTCTCATGTTAATTTTCCACTGCTGCGGCGGCGGCTGCTCGGCACTTGCGTGACTTGATCGTTTTGGCCAGATATTATTTTGTTACATTAAAAAATAATTACCGCGTTTGCCTTTGCGTTTTTTCTCATTCATCTGCTGCTCTCATCTGTCCCTCTACCGCATTCGCTCTTATTCCTCGCTTTCTGTGTCTTGCGTCCAACTTTCGTCTGGCTGTTGATTTGTAAATAACTTTCTGAAATTATTTTATTTATGTTTAAGCAAGCATTTGAAAATAGCTTTAAATGCACCTGCGAAGTGTGGTAATAACTATTACACCATGACACTCACTGTATTTCTTTTAAATTTATTTCTAATTTATTCTATCGAATTTGTGTGAATTCCTGACATTGATTAGAATTATATGCTAAAAAAATTGTTCGAAGATTTTTGTAGATTATAAAATTGGATTCGTTTTTATAATTCGGAGTTTTAACTTGAGTTAGATTATGTTTTAATGAAACAACAATTTTAAAGTCTAAGAAATATTAACAACTGTGCTAAGCCACAATAGCCTGATGACTTAATATTAAATAAACCCTATCTTAAATATTCCGCTTAAATATTAAAATATAAAATACTAATAAAGTCTTGAACTTTTTAAAAAACTCTTTGTCTTATCCTAAAGCTGTCTGTTAGCTGACTTTCAATTGTTTCGCACTCCGATTAATTGCAATTCTTTGATTTGTTCTTTTCTTGCGATTTGGTATTGAAAGCTTGAATGTGGGTGTGTGTGGCTTCTCACTGGTTGCATACTTGAAGCACTCAGTGTAAAACCAATAAAAAGTTTTGGTCACGATTTCTTAATTAAAACTTGGCATTGCCCTATGAAATGGAAAGCCCTTTTGACAATGTGTGGCCGTGTGGATGGGTGGGCAGCTGTCGTCTAGACAGCTCTCTTCCCTCTGTCTATGGTTTTTGAGAACTTAATAATATTTATTTTTACAACCGGACATGCTGCAAACTTTTTACAGTTACGTGCGAAAGTGAAACGCTTAAAAAGGCATCGAATGTCTTTATTATGCCACGCAAAAGCCAATCAACTCGCAGCAAACTGCAAAATCGAAACTGCAAACATTAAGCTTGGTGCTTGGGTTATAGTGAGGGGAGGCACTCACTGTTCGTGTGGAGTTTTTCCAGCAACGATGCTTGTCATCAAATTTTATTGTTATTTAAATGACGAGTCCGGGGCCTGGCAACTTCGACAGTGTAAGAAAATGTCAGCAAAGTGTGAGGCGTCGATGGAAGTCGCGTAATATTCTATAAAAACTTGATGCAAGAGGTGGTTTAGCTGTGAACCACTGCTGAAAGATGGCTGCGAATTGTAGCAAATGTAATGCATTGAAAGCAGTGCTGTGAAAATTAAATTGAGCAGTGTTGTAAACTAGAAAGGTTATCTAATTAATAATTTTAACTCTTAAATTTGTATTTATTAACCAATTACTTGTACTAAATTTTGTGCTCATGTTAACATACTAAGCTTCATCTTTATAATGCAGGGTATCATTTAGTAGAACTTATTACATTATATTTCTTTAACATTTTTTTTGTTTTATTTTTCTGCATTGTTGCCAATATGCGGCGCATGCCTTTGCCCGTATAAAGCCTGTCGAAGACCAGCCACCAGGCAAAGTCACTGGCACTTTGTATATGGCCCCCGTTTCAGGTGCACCCCTTGCACATTTCCCGCCTGTACCAACTGTATGCAGAAATATATATGTATATATATATATACATATATATTTATTGCGCCTCGTTTCAGTCAATGGTGACACTTGCTGCATTTTAAATGGGCGCGCGCCTGAACATTGCCGTTGTCACTTTGCACGCTTATGGGGCGCGGGGAGGTGGCAGTGGCCGGGGTAGCGTGTGGCAAAGCCAAAAGAGAAAAGAATGCAGAATGCAAAAGGTGCTTGGCAACACATTCCGCTAACTGCACAGTTGCTGCAAGAGTTTTGTTTGCTGTTGCTGCTGCAGCTCCCAACACGTTTTGTGGCCATCATTTTGCGCACTTTTCTCCATTAAAATCATCAAAATGTATAGCTGCCGAGTTTTATGTTTATGAAAAATTTGTCTCGCCAAGTTGCAAGCTGCCTCTGCCGTTGCAGGTGTTGCCAAGGACATGATTCACCAGAAACCAAAAGATGAGCAGGACTGGAATGTGTATAATATATATCAAGACCTTTAAGTGTAACAAGGTCTACAGTTAATTTCACCTGCAAGCGTGAAAGTTGATTGAAAAGCTGTATTCAAAACTTATTAAGCTTATCAATGGACTGGTTTTACATTCACGTTGAAAGACTATGTAGATGTAATAGTTTTTTATTTTTATCTTTATCTTTATGATTTCACAGCTTAGTACCAGAGCACATTTAATCATAGCCGTCTTTTATAAACTTTGCTCAAAAAGTGACTCTCATACTTTTTTTCAGCACTGTCAAACTAGTGATGAGTAAATAGCTAAGATTATTGACAGCGGACTAAGCCCTAACTCAATACTGGACGTACCAGCCTGTTACAAATATAATCTCAGGCGTACTTAAACGATATTTTTACAAATCCACCAGCATTGGCGAATTATGGGTAAAAAAAAAAACAGCTTAAATTAACAGATATTCACTTGACCCGCGCAAAGCCGCGTTATACCTGCTACTGCTAGCTGTCTGCTTTTTAGCTTCCTTACTTAGCTCTGCAACATTGGGTTGTCTGTATAAATTCATCAATAACTCGCTAAATTCTGTTCTTGGGAGGCCTTCAACTTTTTTGCTTGCACTTTTTCTATACAAGTGCGTCATGTTTGGGCTAGACTTTTTTACATGGTTAGGTTTAAGCCCATAAGCACAGACTAGGGTAACCGAAACTGCCTAAAGTAAATCCCTGGCATGCATTTCATAGAACTTTACGAGCGGCAGTTAGACTTTTTTTAGGGGCAAATTTTGCAAACTAACAAAAAACTCAAATGTCGAAGTAGTGTGCACAGGGTGTGTGTGTGTGTGTGTGTGTGTGTGTGTGTGTGTGTGTTGAGAGGGGGACCAGCCGGGTGCAGTGTTGGTCAATGTGTGAACAAAATGCACAGCATCGTTAGAGGATGCAAACAAGTTTCTCTATATACATATTTTTTTCAGTTCATCTCTGTGTCCCGCTGCTGCTTCTTCTTCTACTCGATGCTGTCATTGCAGTTGCCGACGCTTTGTTTGAAATGTTGCTGACAAACCACTTGAAAGTGTTGTAGTTGTTGTGCGAGTGTGTGTGTCTGCGCTGACGTACATATTTCATAAGAAAAGCAAGTGACAAGTTTTTCCCCCAGTCCCCCCGCTGCTTTATACAGTTGCCGAAATTATGCCGCCTAGAAAAGAAAAAAAGAAAGAAAGAAAAAAGGTTAAAGTGTAAGTGGGGAAAAACAAATTGTTGTTGGCCCGACCCAACCAGTTGTTGGCCCAGACTGGCTGACTAGCTGACCGACTAGCTGACTGCGGCTGGGTTCGGTTCGTCTGGATCTCAGACAGCAGCCTCCTCCTCAGCAAGTGTCGAAAACTGGCCTACTCGTGCGCCGGCCTTCGATAGAGCACACAAGCACAGAAACAGACACAGACCACAGAGAACTTTGCGTGCTTGAAGAAAAGTCTTTTATTTGAAACATTTTCCACGAAAAATGTTTTCGAGTGCTTGACAGCTGCGCGTTCGCTCGTTCGGCCTTTGTCGCTTTTTAATATACCATTTCATTTCAAGTTTTTCCTCATATTTTTCTGCCACTTCAATAACAGTTTGTAGGCTGCGTCTTGTTAAATTCTTATGAAAATATGCACATTTCATGCGGCTGGTTCTTCTTGTTTCTCCACTGCGTTCCAGCGAAAGTCTAGCCAGAAGATACAAAAAACACCAAATCTTAGCTACGCACTCCACTTTCTAATCAATTATTTTGCACTTATGTACATATATGCAAATTTTGCGCGCAAACAAATAAATCAATTGAATACGAAATCCCCAACCCCTACACACATGCCCCCTTATGCCCCAGGCAACGCGGGCTATTGGCCACAATGAACCAATTTGAGCAGCACCTTTCGCCTGTGAAATTGCGTTGTCAGCACTGGCGCCGCCGGTGAAGCCGGTGAGGTGTTTTTTTTTTATAATTTCTTTTTCTTTTCGGGTTTCTGCCTAGTTAACAGCTTTTTTTTTACATCTAGCTCTGCTTCTTCTGCTCGCACTCATTCGATTTCGCGCTTACAAAAAGCACGCGCAATGTGCTTGAAAAGCGCAAAATTTCGTGAATATCGAATTTCAAAAGTGGGCAAATCACGGAAGTGGGCAACGGCGACTGTCAAATGCGCTGCGGGCGGTCCTCTAGACAGTTATTAAGAGCCTTGCGTCATACTTAAATTATTGAAAGCTGTTGCAAATTCCATGCAGTTGCTAGCAAAAAGCTGAGACAATGAAAACTTAAATGATTCGACCAGTAACCAGTTCGATATTTAATTGTCCATTTACATAAAACTTTGTCCTGCCTTAAAGTTCACTTTTGTGAATCTTGTGATATTAAAGTCTAAATCTGACCTGATATAATTTTTAACGAAAAAGTAGTTTATTAAAGTCTTCTGATTGGATCCAACATATTATAAATGATTAAGACTTTCTGTGCCTAACCAACATTTGAATTCTAAATTATTGAAAGTTTTCAAGGTAATTTCAAGTATTTTTTCTCAACTCCATCAAAATGATTTCGAGAGAAGAAATATCTTTTTATTTTTAGTTTTTATTGGTTTTCAAAGCATATGTTTTTATTTCAAGCCAATTGAGCATAACTTAAATGCAAACATTTTTGGAATTTTAAGCATTCATCATTTTGAGTTTCTGACGAAGCGAATGAGTCAGCCGCATTTGGCAGCTGCATTAGCCAAATCCATAAGCCTTGGCTAATATGCAAACAAACATACAAGCTGTATGTATTTTTATATATAGAAAAATGCCAAATCATTCAATTTCAATTAAATGACAAAAATACAAAAATGTTTTGACGCCAAGTCAACAATTCGGAAATTTAATTTCGTGCTCTTTTGCTACGGTTTCACATTTCGCCTGCAAGCCAAATCCAAATCTCGTAGCTTTTGATTTTATTTTTCGGAAAGCTCGACAAATGAACGAGAATAAAATCTGCAAAAAAAAAATCGCGTTTCATTCATTGACGAAGCCCAAGATTGTTTTACACTCGTCGTCTGGTGTAAAACAAAGAGATTGTATTTTATATTTTTGTCGCGTGTTTCTGGAGCTGCAAACTTTTCGCCGAACGCTGTCTTTTTATTTTTTATTTTTGTAATAAGAGGCACAACTCATGTTGAACAATTTGAATAAGTACATATAATGATTATTTTTTTTTCGCTTAGCTCACTCTTGACAGATCCAGTACGGGCAGCCCGACAGACACGTCTGTGCACAACAATTTGATCTCTAGAGTTTTGGCACGAACTGTAATTGAAAATATTTCATATCCCAAAGCAAAACCAAAAACCGACAAACAAACAGTGCGCTTGACACTTGAAACACTTGGTTCGTGGCTTTGGTCTTTGGCAGGGCGGTTACGCGGGGGGTTTTTCACGGATCTCTTGCTGGCAGCTTTCTTGTCCGGTTATGTTACGTTACGTGAAATTTCAAATGTCATAATTTTGACAGTTTGATAGTCATACACATAGTTTCTTGCCAGCGTGTAGTGGGAAGCTGCAAGGCATTGGAGCGGTCCGTTGTGAAGTGTATTGCCCAACACTGTTACCGAAAAAGTAGCCAACAGCAAACAAAGTGACAACTTTGGCATATTATGAGTATAAGTCACGCACAGTGGTAACGAACAACAAATTGAAGCCATAAAAATATATAAAATTGTTTAAGATAAACAATATGCGATCTAATAACATTTAGGTGTAAATCGTTTTCTAGCAAATTCTTTAGCTTCTGGGTTCATAAGCCCAAAGCTTGATAAATATTAAGTTTTCCATGGTTAGCGGCTCTGGACTAACTTTGCTGACTCTAACTCTTAAAGTAATGAGGTCAATTCATTTTATCAATGTTTTGGAATATTTGTAATCAACTTTTTCTAAAAAGCAAATACAAGTATGGTTTTATTATAAGTTGGGGCAAATGCTTCTTGTTTGAGTATTTCTTTATGGAGTCCAGAACTGTATAGAAAATATAGTTAAATAATTATCATTTTAAAACAATATTCCAAGATCTGTAAACCACTTACAATTTTATTTTTTAGTACCTGTTATACCTTGATACCCTTCCTTAATTTTTATTTAGGTATTTCTGCTATTTGATTTTTTGCCGAACGAGACGCAACTCAGACCCGAATCGATACGTGTCCCACTCTTGTAGCTGGTTGAGATCTCAAAGACCACACATAGAGCTGGATTTTTAATGTAAAGTTGCACAACATGTAAAAATTCAGCTCGTGTTTTACAGCAAACAACAGCTGTAATCAGTTTTTAGCTATTTTCCGAGAAACAGTCGCCAGCGCGAGCTGCCAAATTAGGCATTGTCAGAGTCATATATGGATTGTAGGTACTATAACCCTAGCCTATACGATTATTTCTGAGCAGCTTAGGGCTTTGTGTAATATATCAAGTAACAAGACACAAAAAACATGTCTTTTTAAAAGAACTTGCTATCCCAACAGGTTAGAAAATGGGGACTCGAACAAAACTTGGGCCTCGTCAGCTTTTTGACATTGACGAAGTGGTTCTTCGAATGAAATTGTCATAATTTTTTCGGGTTTTCTACATGTCTTTTGATGCATACAAAGCGTTAATGTTGCCCACTTTGTCATACTTTGCGTTAGCCTCAACAATTGAACAATTGATAAAAAGGTAGACAAACTAACGGTCCATTTGAGGTATTGCCTCACACGTCTGGATCTGAACAATTGAACTTTGAGCATGACTCAGTTTCGTAGCTTGCAATTCCAGCTCAGATGCAATGCTATTGGGCGTGGCATAACCGGTTTCTATGCCTACGATATAGTTGCACTCTTCTATAAGCTATATGCCTTGACTTAAACACCTAATTGAGGCATATGGTAACCAGTTAAGGACTTTTAGGTGTAGCTCCACATCTGGATTGAAACATGGCTAACAACACATTTGAGTATGCATTGTTTTGACGTTCACTAATTTGTTTGAAATTTCACAGTTTTGCGTGTTTTAATCAATTGGTTCTGCTTGTTTTGAGTGTGCATAATGGCTTGTAATTTCAATTTGTTGCAGGCGTCATTGAGTAGTTGACTGACGGGCAAACTTCACTTATAAGACCATTCAATTTATTTTATTTTATTATTGAAGCATCAATATTGTATTAATAAACATCTCAGGGATTAACAGTGGATTTTCGCCAGTTAAGCTGAACATTTTATTACAAGACGGATAGACATGGATCAATGCGAAGAAAAAAAATTAATTCATTGAATAAGAAGAAACCGCACGAGAACTTTAATTTTTCTCAGCTTAAATAAAACTTTTATTAATATTAAATACCAGATATTTTGCTTATTTATCCAAACAGTTCATGTTCCATTCTTCAGACTAAATGTTATTATTTTCATTAGCTTCAGTTAAGCCCAATGAATGCCTTGGCCACGCCTCAAATTTTAAACGGTTCGTGTTAACACACTTCATGTGGAAGGCATAAGCAATTTTGAATTTGATTTAATCCATGCCAGCACGTCACATAAATTGAAATACTTATTTCAGCTGCAAAGCTGCCCACAACTATCTATAAATTAGTCCATAAATATGTCCGCGTCTTATACTAAGCTGCAGCAACAGCTCCAGGGCCAGCAACAAAGCCAGCCGCAATGAACGATTCCATAAGCAATTATTATATCGATTTATGACAAACCCAAGCAAAGTTTGTCTTGGGTGGGAGATTATGTCGGCCAAGCGGGGATTTGTGCCAAGGCGGCAATGGCTCAAGTTCCCAAACGCCCAAGACAAACTTTGCGCATTAAAAAAAGCGCATGAAATTTAAATCTCAAAATAATAAATACAAATTCTAACTGCTTGCTAGTAAAAAAGGCTAAACGAAATAAAAGAAAAACAAAAGTACAAAAATTACATTTCCGCCTGGTTATAAGAAATCGCTTACTGAGCAACAGGTAAACGGTGGCAACCAAAAAAAAAAAAAAAAATGAAAAAACTTGTGTGTAAAGTAAATCCAGGTAAGACCCAAGGCTGGGCCCAAGTAATATACCACCAGCCTCTGAGCGGGTTATAAAAACTGTCATGATTTACAGTTCGCACTTTTTACGATGCCGCGCTCTTCGCCAGGTTCTATGGCAGCGGCGGCTGTTCTATCGGCCAAGAATTATATGGAATTTAAGTAAGCGAGAAATATATATTTAAGCATAGTTTTTATTTGACGGAGCTATTTTTTTGTATTTTTTCTCTCTATTTTTATGTGGCTTTTATGTGCCAGTACGCAGTTCCCATACCAAAAAGAACTTTAAAGGCGGCTAATACAAATTCCTTTTTCCTTTTGTGGTAGCATCCAACTAACTGTTTGTAATTAAAATCATTTATTGGCGTTAAAAATCATGTATTTAAGCTTGATTTTTGCGCCGCTCACTCACGTATTCCACATAAAAACTCAAAGGCCTCAAAATCAAAGCTAAAACTAACTCATAAAACATAAAAAATAAAACGCACACACACAATTTCCCAGCGTGTTCTCACTGCGCACATCATGTAACGTTTTCACTTAAAATTCACACTTGATACACAACAACAACAGCAGCGCGAACATTTATCATTTCGCTTAGATCTCGCGCCTTTTAGAGCGGTACGAGGCCTAAAAGTGTCGCCTGTTTGTTTTTGTTTTCCTCAGTTTTTTTTTTGCATCTTTTGATTTATTCTCAAGTGCTTTGCTGCTGTCTTTCTCTTTGTTTTATTTCTGCGGCAACCTAAATATTGAGATAGGCATCTGCGGTCGGTCAGTGTCAACTGAAGCGGTTCAGCTAAGTTGAGTTTATTCCCTTGGCCTCTACCTACGATATATTACGTACGACGTCGCTTCATTAGAAGTGTCGTAAAAACGTAGCCAAGATCTGAGTTTTAGTTGAAATGGCCCCAGTTACTCTGAGATCTAAGTTAAATTGTGATCATGAGTAGATCTACGGCTGAAAATTTCATTCAGAACTTGCAGCTGAGTTGATACGAATACGTGCCTGGCATTAATAACTCATAGGTAAAAGTCAGTCACTAACTGGCAGTTGAGCTGTAATGATGTTAGCACAGCAAAGTCGTATTTTACGTACATTAATAAAATCTTTCTATTAGTTCTTAATGCCAGAATGTCAAATATATAATGAGGACGGCCTCATGAGAATCGCAGCGAAGGGCTCGAGGCATGAGAGGGCTTTCAAAAGATTTCTAGAATTATAAGTAGAGAGTATTGAGATCTAGCACATAATAGACAATCAAATATTTTACAATATTTTTAAAGCTTTAAATGTATTATCTTAAAACTTTAATACAAATATCTTATGCTTTAATAACTTATGCTTTGTAAAAGTTTATAATATTGTTAAGTTAGATAATTCTTAAAAATAATTTGCAGCAAAGTACACAGCGTAAACAGAATTATTTTTAATTTGAATTGCCTTAACTGTTTCTGTTCTATTTAAATATATTTCTATTTGCATCTCAGTGCTATTTGCTCTATAGCTTAAACTTATGGTTTTTTTGTAGCACTTCCTTTCATAATAGCTTTAAAATATTTATAAGAATACAAAGTAATTTTTCATAGCCACGCTGTTTTCGTACCGTTCACTTGATTTGCAAAGGCATTGTTAATGCTCAACGCTCTGATTTCAAATGTTTTACAAACTTTGAACACAATATTAATTACTGGCCATTAGCAGCATCACTCAATTTTAAGCATATGCAACAGCAGCAGCGACTGCACAGCGACGAGCAGTGCACAAAGGAAAAAAAAATAAAAGTGGAAACTATCTGGAAACTCATACATCAATGCCGCTAAATCCACTTGTCAGGGCAACAAACGTGAGAATCGTTCGAGTAAAAAAAAATACAAAACAACAAAAAAGATACAAAACAAAAGCCAAAGCAAGCGCAAACAGATCGAGCTACGAGAAAATATTGTCAGGGCAGCCGTTTAACCCGGTGTACGGTGTCCCTGCTCGGGCGCCCAAAAACCGTATGTTGTTCGCTTAACTTTGGACTCTATTAAAGATTTGTTGCTGCTGCTGCAACGACGACACCTGCAACATTTGAGGGCGAGCAGTGAAAGACTTTTTTATGCTAAATACCGCCGCATTTTATTGATGACGACAACAGCAACGAAAACAATGTGATATATCTTGCTCTTGCCCTACGCTCGCACACAAACACACATGTAACTTCGACAACAACAACAACAAATGAGTGACAAAACACCACAAGGAATTTTAATCCCAAAATGATTGATAATCATTTGCAAGCCGTAGAAGAAAAAGCTTTATCACGTTCCGTTTGCTAGGTGTAAAGTCTATGCGGTATTATAGCAACGCGTTCAGCATCATCTTCTACTTCAGCTTCTTCATCTTATTCTTCCTTTTTTTTCTACTTCATCATTATCATCATCAGCTGCTGCGACTGGAACTGGGTTGGGTTCGGGGGCCAACCGTGGACCAGGGCCTAGCCATTGTGCGCTGCTAATGTTTGCACTTAATTCAACAGACAATAGACAGGAAAGCTGCTGGGCGCATTTTCTTTTAGCTTTTACCTCAAGTGCTGATGAGTGCAAGGGCGTGTAGAGCAGAGGCGGGGGGGGGCTGGAATCCATTCCAAGCGGAAAACGTTGCCAGCCAGGGCGAAAAATCTAAATTATGTCGTTGCCGCCTGGCAACGCATAGAAAAATGCAGCGTTTTGTTAGCATAAAGAGGCGACGATGCGCTTTTTATGAATGGCGCGACAGCACTGAGAGAAATTTTTTAGTTTCGGCTGCAAATGAGAGATCAAAGCAACATTTTCGAAATATAAATTACAAACGAATCAAAAAGAAAGTAGGAAAATGTAAGTAAATTATCATAGTGAAAAATTATAAATAAATAAAATAAAATGAAATAAATTAAATAGATAAAATTTGTTCAGTTTCTAATTTTGTTGTTAATTTTTCTTGATTCTTTTCAAAATCTTTTAAGAATTTATTAATTTTACCAGATTTGTTTCATATTTTCCTTCTCTCTTCAGTTTGGCATGCTTTTCTTGCAGTGTCGTATATCTATGCCTGTACACCCACCCACAGTCAAACATTTGCCATATCATGTTGCACATTTGACTGCCAACAAACTGTTGTGTGTGTGTGTGTGTGTGTCAGCCGCCCCAAAAGCCCCTCAGCTCCAGTCTCGTTTATTTCACTTGTATCTCATTCAACATTTAGTTAAG